GGCGGTCCTCGCCCTCCCTCGCGCGGTCGCAGAGCGGGCCCGGCGGCGGCGGAGCGGCGGACACCGGCGCCAGGTGAGGGCGGGGCGGCCCCGGGCCTCTCGGCGGCGCGGGCGGGACGGAGGCGGTGGGGCGGAAGCGGCGGCACGGCGGTGTCGGGCCCGGAGCGGGGTGGGCCGGGACGAGCGGGCCAGGCTCGGCTTGGGGCCGCCGGGGGGGGGAGATTGCCGGGCCGCGCTCAGCCGCGGGGTTCGGGGCCGCCCTGAGACGGGAGCCCCGGGCCGCGCCGCGTCGTTGGGCCCCGGTCGGGCCGCAGCCTGAGACCCGGGGCTCCGCCTGCAGCTGCGGCCGCACCGCGGCCTGCGCAGCTCTCGGGCCGGGCCCAGCCGGCGGCGCGCAGCCCCGAGAGGAGGAAAGCTGTTCTCTCTGAAGCCGTGCTGCAGCCGCCGTCGGCTCGGGCGCCGTTTCTGGGCTCCGCTCTTTGGCGGCTGTTTGGAGATGTCAGCGAGGGTGCGTTGACGTTTCTTTGAGCCCCAACTTTTGTTTGTATTTCTCCGTAACTCGGCACTGTAGTGACGGAAAGGCTTCTGATCTTGTGCTCTCGGTGCGTCCCTGCTTTTCTCCGAGTTCGGTTTTTTCGGAAACTCCGAGCTCCCCTTCCTCCCCTGCCCCCCGCGCAAGGAGCCGCACTCAGCTGTGCTCCCCGGGCTGCTGTTGCTCGGCCGCTCTGCGTCCTGTGGGACTCGCTGCTTGCATCGGGCAGTGTGCAGTAATGTTGTGCTGGTAAAGAAATAGCTGCTGCTTTTAAAACGCGTGGGAAAACATGAGAAACCCAGGTCCCTACCTGCGTTTGTAAACTGAGTATTAATGCTTTCGCTTTTCAGCTGCTTAAATGCTTGGAAGGTGGGGCAATAGAGTTACATTCTGATGAACATTTCTACTATCGCTCAGTTCTCAGCTGTGGTACTGCCGAAGATTGCATACCTTTGTAGCAGATGTTAAATGTCTTAAACTCATAACTAGGCCACTGAATGGGCTTACAGTATGTTTTTATTTTTGAATACTGTACTGATTGCTTTTGGAAGGAAGCTGGAGTTGCAGTTGAGTTACGTAGATACACCGCATTTAAAAGTTTTGTAGAGGCAAAAGGTTTGCTGCCAAGGACACTGGGGAGCAAAAGTGTCTGTAACGGTTGGGTTGCAATGGAAATAGAGCTGTTACAGGTCATTGGTGTCCCTCTGAAGGGCAGGGAACTTGGTGTTGGTGTCTCTTTCAAAACCGTGTGGCCTCTATTAAGAAATACAAATGCGACGCCATATAGGGGAGCTCCCACTGGATGTACAGCAGGGCTTACAGCTGAGAGTCTGTCCTGAATTGCAGAAATTGTGCTCAGACAATTTGTTCCTTAACGTTGGCCAGAGCAGAAGCTATGGGAAAGAATGCTTAGGAGTGGGAAAAGGGAAGGGGCAGAAATGGAAAGGAAAATAATGCTAGATGTATACAGATCTGAGACAGGGAAGATCCATCACCGTATTCCAGGTGAGAGGTTTCCCATCTGGCTAACAGATGGAACTTTTGTCATGTTTGCTTTATGGAGGCACTGGTTGCTGTGTGTTCTGTCTGCCTCTCGCTCTGCTCTGTTTGCAAACTTTCAGTGGCCTCTTCAGCAGCAGCCACCACACACAAGTGACATTTCAGCCCTGCAGCTTATGTGTGTCTTAGCCTTGTGCATCTTACTGGGCTTGCCTCGGGATGGTGTGTGACGCTGATTATCTGTGGCGTAATCAGAAGGAAAGGAGGGAGGGAGGGAAGGCTGGGCTTTGGATTGCATGGAGAGGAGGTAGAGAAAACTTTCCAGAGGTCCAAGAGCATGCGTTTTTCATCATCCTGATGGGCAGCATTGCTCTTGCAGCGTGTCCTGTGTAGTTAGTTGGTGCTGCTGACAACCCGCCTGCCTTTGGAACAGCGCTTCTAACCCTGGTGGTGATGTACATAAAAACAGGAACAACAAATGAATTCTGGTGTCTAAGTATAGGGACCTCGATGTCGTGTCACAGTAAATAACTCTTCTTCATGTGTTTAGGGAAGAGAAAGAGGAGCAGTCGAGGCAGAGCACAGCTGCTAAGGGAGCTGCTAAGGAAGGGAAGTGCTCAGGGTCCCTGCAGTGCGAGAGCCATCATCATGGGACTGAGAGGGCTGCTGCCTTCTGCAGCTTCAGAGAGCAAAGGGCTCTGGCTCAGATTCGTACAGCGATTGAAAAGTACAGTAAAAGAGCTGTGCCTTGTCTAAATTAGTTTGTCCTTATATAAATGAGTAATTTGGAACAGGAAGATGCCTGTCATGAGCTGTGTATGTGGGAGTCTGAATTTTAAGTCTGCAGCTTGTGAAAAGGAATGATGTGGTTATTCTCACCAAAAGGTGCATGCTGCTAACTTCTCCAAGTCCTGTGTGCGTTGTGTTAATTCTGTAATTCTTACTCTTTTAATAATTAAATGTATGTGAATTTCCAAGACTTGGGAGCTGGTATGATGGGATTCCGTTTCTGGGCAGTACTTACAGAGCCTGCCTCAGATGTAAGCCCCTGTGTCCTGCACTTGTGCAAGGCACACTCAAGCCTCCTTACTTACTGCAAGATACAAGCATGAAGAATTATTTTTGCCTTGCTCCCTGCTAAGTGGTGAGTTGGGGCTCGTGTGATTCCATCCCTCTCCAGGCAGGGGAGTGATGAGATGCAGGACTCATGCTGATGGTTGTGTCGGGTCCCTGCTGCTTTTCGCCGAGAAATGGGAGTCTGCAGTTACAGTGCAGGGACTGTGGCTGCAGGAGCCCAGCCTCTCAAAGCCAAAACATTGCAGGCTTTTTTTAGTGAGGTTCAGTGAAGAAAAGCACTGGACAAGAAACAGCCATGCAGCATAGGAAAGTGTTCCTTCTGAGGTTTTCTTCAAGCCCTCTTTCCATCCCACACTAATACACTGCTGTCTATTTCTGTTGCATCTGTTTTACCATAGCGACCACACCGTGGCTCTTAATAGCAGTAGTGACAATAGTTAACACTTTCAGGATTTCATTTTGCCAAAGGCTTCAGGGAGTGCAGAATGTGCTGTGCTGCAAGCCTTTATGCAGTCAGGAGGCTGACTTTTTTTCTTCATACTTCACAGTGTTTCAGGATTTTGTAAAGTTTAGTGAAATTTCATGGGCTTTCACTACACAGAGAAGAGCCTGGTGGAGGATATACTGCAGTAAAGAAGAGGTAGAGGTTCCAGTTAGACTTCAGTTCAGGACTGAGAGTCACAAATACCTGCTTGTTGTACCAGCATTTGTGAACATCAGTGAGGGTTTGGGGATAAAGGAGCCACGTGTGGGGCTGTTACCCAGACTGCTTTGTTGGGGATTGGTTCGACCTGGGATAAGAAGCCTGTCACCACCACATGTTGACTAGGTTGCTACTTGACAAGGGTTTTTCTCGTAGCCTTTGGAAGATGAGATCAAATGGTTTCTTGTCAGGATGCATCTAAGTTTAAATAGCTTCTCATTTTACTTATTTGCTAATTGCATTGATGGGCCTTAATGAAAAGCTACCAACTGCACAGCACTGTCACAGTGTTCATCTGTTACAGGCTGTGGTACATTTCTTCTAGACAGCAATATCCTTAATGTCTGACATTAATTACACCATGCAGTCTGCAGCTTCTGCGAGAAGTGCCAGTGCTGAGAGGGCTCACATGCAGGGCAGGGAGCCTCCTGGGCTCCTCCTCAGCTCTTACATGCGGGGATCTCTGTGTGGTTGCTTAGCTTGCTCTGGAGTTAGCACTGGGTTTTAAAGCAACCTTGGTGATGGAGGCTTTTGGCTCCTGTTGAATTAAGAATGAGTTGCCCAGACAGAGATGTGTCCACAGCAGAATGGCTCTAGCTGTGGAGTTTCAGCACAGCTCATAAACTTCAGCTTCATAGAACCTTAAAAATGCGAACGTTCTGCTAAACAGTGTGCATCAAAATGCAGCACAGGTGTTGCAGCCATCTGTGGTTTTCTATCTTTCAGACAAACACAGGTTTTACTTGTTTTGTGCCTGAAGGCTGTGGAAGTGTAGTGGAAAAATATGGGAATGGAGAAAAGCCGTGCATCAAGATGAATGAAGCCTGGCCTTCCTGTAGGCTTTGCTTCCTTGACATCTGGGGAAGCATTGGATCAAACTGGGCCTTTTCGTGTTGACTGAACTCTTTACAGGGCTGTTGGGATGGATTCTTTGCTGTCTGTGAAAGAATCTGTTCAGTGCCTGGGCGCTCCTGAGGTCTCTGTCAAATCACTTACTGTAAGGAAAGCTGGAGGTAACATGCTAAAGCTGATCAGTGACTTTCTGTAACCAAACTTGATGTTGCTGAGTGCTCAGGGGAACAGAGGCAGCAGCAGCCGGCATCCTCCTGCGAGCGCCTCGCTCTGCCCTGCAGCCTCTGGGGCAGCCCGGCCTGGCTGCGGACCGTCTGCTCCACGGCACACAGCGCACAGCCCAGTGGCTGCACTGCAGGGAGCGTCCTGCTGTGAGAAGGGGGAGAAGTTGGTGCGCGTTTGCTTTAGCTGCATTTTGAGTTTTGGCCTACATTTAGTGAACGGTATTAAAATTTCACATTTTAGATTTTAGTTTTGCTTCTCAACTTGATATCACGGCATTTCCATGGGTGTAATCATCAGCGTAGCTGGAATCAGTGGCGTTATCCTCGTGTTTTAGCCACTGAGATTCTTTGCTTGGCCCTACGCTGCTTCTTGAGTTACGATGTGAGGAGACACAAGAAGGTACCAAAGGTCCAGAAGTGGCAGGTAGCAATGAAAGCTGCTGCAGAGCACATGTAATGTGATGTAACGTGAGTAGTGCTTCCCCTCCCTTGGCTGCTGGGCTAACAGAAATGCCAAGTACAATACTGAGGGATTTTAAAGAGATTCTTCTCTTTTCTAGGTAGAAAATACCCAATTTCAGCTTATTTTTCTGGGTTTTCTTCCCTCACCTGCTGCCACACTGGTGAGCAGGTTGCATGTAAGCAGGACATGTGCTCAAAGAACATCACTGCTACACTGCTATAAAACCCCTGATTTGGTTCTGCCGAAGCCACCAGTTTATTGCTGTGCCTTCATTACGCTGAGAGGTTGGAGAGCACGGTGGGGAAGCCACGAACACGAGCAGGATCCAGGGATGGTGCACCTCGCTCTGTTGGCCGTCTGTGGTGGAACATCCCCAGGCGATGCATCCTGAGGTGCATGTGTGGCCCACAGTGTGCAGTGGTGGGGGTCAGCCTGAGCTGGCAGGGTGTGCTTGGGACGAGGAGGCTCGTAGCAGTGTGTTGTTCTTGTGCTACTTTCTTATTCCCTTTTCTGTTTTTCTTTTAATGAATGACATCCAGAAGGGTTTATCTTGAATCGAAAGAGGACAAATAGGGCAGTAGTGTGGATAAAACTTGCTCTGTTTTGTCAGCCAAAAGGAGCATGTGTGGTTCTTTACCTGCGAAAAAAGGTTGGTTTTTCCATATCTCAGTGTTTGCTGTTAATATTGGGATGTAGTCTAAAAGCCTGTTCGCAGAATTCAGACTGGGATTTGCTGCAAAGCTGTGTTTAAAAAACCAAGGCGTTCATTGTGGAACATTGGATATTTTTGTAATTTTGTATCCTTGTCTCATGGAACATAGAAACTTTCTTTCAAGATGTCATTTTTTGGGAGTTACTGTTTCACACCATTTCCCAGCCTGGAATTAACTGAAGACAAAATGCAATTGAAGTTTAGGAATTTGTGGTGGAAGGTAGAAGAAGTATACGTTTGAATCTGGATGCTTAGAACAAGTTAATGATTTTGGTGTTTGCATCATAGACCCCCTGTGTATGAACCATGGAATGAACCATGGAATGGCTTGGCAGGAATGTCAACAATCTAGGAAGCATTGAGGACGCTGGATGTGGTGTTGGTTGGTGTTTTTTTTTCCAGTTTCCTTTTATTCCCATTTAGATGTTTGTGCAACATTCTTCAATGAAGGCAGAAGGAGGGAGGGTTGTGTGTCCTTTGGAAATTATGTCACTACTTGCTGCTGTCAAAGCCTTTTTCTCCTCGCCATCAGTTCTGGATTCCCTGAAGGGTTTGATTGTAGTCTCATTTCTGGACTGATTTTTCTTCTTGTTCCCGGTTTCAGCAGCTTTAAATAATTGCCACTGTGGGGATGAGGGCTGCACTCTGTGCTGACTTCTGGCATCTGCTCATGAAGGACATCAGCCCATCCGTCCTTCTGGTTCTTCCATGCTTGTGAAGGAACTGTTCTCACCCTTTCCAGCCACTGGACAAAGCCTTGCTGTGCTTTACTTGACTTGCATAGTGCAAGTGGGATGGGAAGAAAGAGACATAAAGGCTTCAAACTCTGCTTAACAGGCTGGTATAACTGTAACTCCAAATCATTTGAGATCGTCTCAGGACAGAACTACCAAGACAGAGCTGATTTTGTCCTGCCTCCATCTGGCAGGGCTGTAGCCGGTGTTTCCCAGCACTCAGCTGCCTCGGCTAGCTGCTGCAGGCTGGCTCTGATCTGCTCTGATCCCCTCTCCCAGGAACCCACTGGCATTGCTAAGCACTGTCCCATCACGTGGCACTGGATCTGTGCTGCAGGCTCCTGCTGTAGGCCTGGGCTGCCCGCTGCCACAGCTCAGGCTGTTCTGCAGTTCTGCACATTGATTCCACTCTTGGTCCCCAGCTGCAGCCCCAGCCTCTACAGGCATCTACACGAGGTTACCAGCATCACTGGGACTGGGGTTTTGCTGCGTGTGCTCAGGCCTGAAAGTTTTTGTTTTTATTCTTGTTTGGGGGGGGGAGGGGGAAAGTGGTGGTGGGAAGGGTTATAGGGTGGAGTGTTGAATGAAGATCCTTGCTAATTGTGCTTGTAGGCTGGCTTCTGATTTATGGCAGTCAACCTTATAACCAGGGGATTACAGAATTTGTTAGCAAGAGGGATGCAGCTGGGATTCATTTGGTTTGGGGATGGAAGACAGGCTGTGCTCTGCCCAAAGAGGAAGGTTTCACAAATCATCGCTTCCTCCTGTCACGGTCGGTATAAATCCTACCTGAGCATAGGAGCAGGCCAAGCTGCGTGTTTGAGAGGAGTCTTCAAAGCTGCTGCAGGCACTTCAGACACTAACATTCAAAATAAATAACATTGAAGAGTTTGTGCTTTTACAGAGGAAAAGGTAATTTCTTTGGTGCTCGGGACTGTCAGAAATATTCGTGCTTCTCAGTGGAGGTAGAACATCTCTCCCTGAGTAATTGTACGTATTTTGAGCATTTAAAACCTCACATATTGATCCAAAATTTCTCTTTCTGAAAAAAGGTTATACGTGTTTTATAGGTGTTTCTTTCATTATTTTCAGAAGATGCAGCTTGTTTTTCACAGGGTGCTCATTCAGGCCCCTGTGTGGTTGTCCCTAAGGCTGTTCCTCATGCTGGGCTCTGAGCTCCTTCCTTCCAGAAGTCAGAGTATGTGTAATGAATGATACAAGGTGATCTGTGGTTAGGGAAACCAGCCCGGCCCTGCCAAAGACACTCACCATTCATTTGTTGGTGAAAATCAATTAAGCCAACTTTCCTGCAGATAGTTATCAGCTGTGTCCTCATTACCTGGGCACGTGATGTGGAGCTGGAGTTTGACTCAGTGCAGAGCACTCAGAGCTGTGATTTAGCTGAGCATGAAAGAGTCTGGGGAACAAATAAAAAGTACTCATCTGAAAGCACTGTGGAAACACATGGGAAGTATTTTTACTTTCAGTGCAGACTGCAAAAGAACATGGATTACAAAACCACCTGTGTCTGCAATCCCAAATCTGAGCGGTGTTCCAGAGCAGAGGCCTGCTGCTGCAGCAGGGTGGGCTGTGCTGGGTTGGGTGGGCTGTGCTGGGTTGGGTGGGCTGTCACATCACAGTGCGGCGTAAGCCTTTCTAACATGGTTACTTTCTGGATGAAGAAAGGCTTTTTTTTTTCAGCCGCTATCTGCAATTCACCTTTAATCTCCGACTTGTGGTTTTAAGTTTTGTTGGGAACTTGAACCTCTGCCAAGAAGCTGGTCTGCATCCCATTGGAGGGCAGAGCATCCTGAACTGAGCCTTTCTGGTGGCTCATGCTGAATGCCAGCAGCTTGCGAGTTACAAGATCTTGGCAGCATGGCCTGTTGGTTTGATTTGTTAATCACAGCGGTGGGCAGGAACTGGTTCCTTTCTGTATTGACTCTTGGATGCTTGGAATTGCATAAGAAATATTTGCTGAGTGTTGGGTGTGAGACCAGAGTGGGGATCGGGCTGTCTCACGTGGTCCTGTAGCCCTGTGATGGCTGCAGGCAAAGTGGGGAGTGTGAATCTTAGTAAATGCTGCTGTTCTCTGTGCTGTATGGACAACTTCTGTCTCAGGTTGTACCTCTGCATAGGTGACATCATAATGTAACTGCAATTTATTGTGTGTTTCCTGGAGCGAGCAGTACTGGGCACATGACTTGATTTATGAATTCCACTGAAAGATGGAAAAGTTGTGGGCTAGCATAGAGGCAATACGTTTCAAGCTGTAATGTGCTTACGCAGCTGAGAACACCTGAACCTTCATAAAGCAAGCACCGTGTGCTGGGGGGTTCTCTGGACGAGCAAAATTCTCATCAAAAGCTGAATATCTTCTGGTGCTGTGGCTTTCCTGCTGCTTTGCTGTACAAAGCATCTGCAATCCCTACAATTGTTTGGTGGTTCCCCCCAGCTCCCTGCAATTAAAGTGTTGCCCAGTGCCCTGCAGTTTCCCGGCAGCCAGGCATTGCAGAGTTGTTACGGATTCTTGTTTGACCTCTGTATGATGCGGAGATGAGAGTCATTGATTTTTATTTACCCTTCCCTTTTTCTTTGTCATTTAGGCCAGCTGGAATACCGCTCCAGTCACATGTGGAAGGATTCTGTCAGGAAACCACCAACTCCTGTTTGCTCTGGTGGACAAACAGCTCGGCCGCTGCGATGGCCGCGCTGCTCGGAGTCGCGCTGTTTGTCCCGCAGGCCCTCGCACAGGGTCACCCGGTGGGTTTTGTTCTTTGTGCGCTGTTGAGTGCAGCTGTTGGTGTCTTTGCAGACTGTAACTTGTATTTTTCTCCCAAAGTATCTTCTGAACGTTTGACTGGCTCCCGCTGTTGGACACAATGGTTCTGGACGACCTACCAAAGCTGGGAGATACATGTGCCTCCTTGTACTCCTCGGCTATGGAAGACTTAGAGGTGGATTTGGATTCAGGACTGGAGGAAGACGAACTGAAACAGGAGGCTGCTCCTGAGGATTCCACGATCTTTGTAGCTTTTAAAGGAGATATAGAGGATAGAGACTTTGAACAGAAACTGAGCGTTATACTGGAGAATGTACCTGGCCTTCTACATATGGGTAATGTACTTTCTCATCATTTTTTCAACCGTCCTTAGAATAATTAATTACATAATCAGAGTGCTTGCAAAAAGAAATAGATTGCCATTTTCTAGTTCCTTGGATGGTTGGTTGGACTTGATCTCAGTCCATCTGGGTGCTGTTCTTCTCAGGGGCACTAAGTACAAGTTTCTGCAGTTACTTTGTTTAAAACTGATCTGATTAGTGAATTCATTCATTCCTATTCGGTTCCAGTGTTTTACTTGTATTTTTTCTCTTTCAGTTCTCTCCATTACATATTGCTCTTTTGTATGAAAGTGAAACCAAGCTCATCCAAACAGGATGTGCTTTTTAGTATCAAAACCATCCGATTTAAACCACTGCAGTTGAGAATAGATTCACTCTGAAGTAGCTGGGCCTGTTCAAGTCATTACTGTCACTTTGCTGCTGCATTGACCTCATCTACCAGGCTTCTTTTGTGAAGGGGGGAGAACGGAGCATTCTGACATGGTCCTGTGTGCCCACTGTGTGGACAGGCTTCCCTGGTTCACTGGTGACACGGGCTTTTGCAACAGCAACATGTCTTATCAGCATATCTAGATTGGGAAAAAAACATCTGTCCACTGTGTCAGGATCTTTGCAAAGGAACTTATGGTGATTAACTGTAGCTGTTTGGTTATGTAGTCTTTCTCACACAGTAACAGTCTTTCTGGATGGGTGCAGTGTTGGGGTAGTTTGGGTCATTGTGCTTGTGTCAGTGATTTGCTTCCTCCCCACTGCTGGTCAGCCCAGCAATGCCCCTCTTCTGATCACTGGAGGAGATTGATGGATGTTACTGAACAGTCAGGTGACTGTCTGCTGTCAGTATAATCTGCTACAGAAACAGGTAAACCAGGGGAGGTTGCCTTAAATGCAGCGGCAGGTGCATACACAGCAGCACCATGAAGTGCAGAACCTCAGCAGCACTGCTCTGCTTTGGCTTATTATGATATAATGCAGCCTAAAAGCCACATAATTGCCAGTTTGAGTTTTCTCTCCTCCTTCCCGTCTGTCTTTTCCTGAGAACTGGAGGTCTCTGTCCTGTCATGCTGCTTTTTTGTATATTCTTTTGAAATCACATAGTACAAAGAAGAATCCACTGTTCTTTAAAGGCAGTCAGTTTTTGTGTTTAAAGAAATCCAATTTTCTGGATTAGATTTTAAAATGTTTCTTGTGTTACATGGTTCTTCATAGTGCAGAGTACCATTTCTGAAAACTAATTTCTGGCTTCTGAATAAACTAGTCACATTTCTGGGTCACTTTGTTCTTAGCTTTGCATTTTCTCTAGTCATAGTTGGAACTGATGGCTTCGGTTGTTGGGGTCTGAATGGAAGTTACAAAGCTGTGATAAGTGATGAATACACTGAAGAAATCCCACTGGTTTGAGCTGTGTTCTGGAGGAGGTTGAAGATGATGTGGCTAGCAGTGGTGTAACTGGTGCAGCACTTTGATGGGAGCAAATTTAATCTGTGTCTGTGTGGAGTCGCCTTTGTTACATACAGGCATCTGTATGCTGCATTCCTTATAAATATTAATGGCAGAATTAATGAACACGATTCAAGCTTCAGCTGAGAAAGCAGAAAACAAATCTTTAAAATCAATCCTTTTGAAATGATCAGTGTGGTGAGTTATTTGAGCTGATTCAGAACAAAACAGGATATTCAAAATGTCAAGTTAGTGAATCATATTGGATTAGACTTGTGAGATTTGATGTTGGTATCTGATCTCTCATTTTTCAAACATGTAGAAGTAGTGAAACTGATAATGCGTTTTTTATATGTAAAGTGTTGGAACGCTGGTAAGATTCAACACAGCACCACTCAGACCTGCATCAAGGCGGATTTTAAGCTTCTGTCACCTGTCCTCTGAAGATGCGTTTGATGGAAAGAGGACAAACTGAGTAGTGCCATTACTGCAGCAGCAGAAGGGTCTTGGTGAGCTAGTTAGGACAAGAAGGGATGAGCTGCACGTGAATTGTTCTTAGGGAGCACAAAGCAAACTCCTGCAAGTCTGCTGTTCTTCCTTGTCAAAAAGATTGATGTTGGAAGCCTGTAAATCTGTATTAGGAATCTAGCCTTTTCTTTCCCTAAACAGCACTTTGCAGTTTTAACTGCATGCAACTTCAGATCCGTATTTCCAGCATTGCTGGCTTATCTTTCTGCCTGTTCCCACCTGTTACTTTTAAAAGGATTGATTTGTGTAGAAGCACTCATACATAGAACAGGCTTACAGAAAAACTGCTGTTAAATATTTAGTACAACTTCAATGTGGTTTCTGCAGCAGTTTGAGCATCCCTGTGCAGAATCACTGAATAATACGGTAGGAGCGAACGAAATACCAGTAAGGCTTCATTGGCACTGGCCTACAAAAAACATTTCACAAGCATCTCACAGAGTGAATTGCGAGGGCTTCAGTCTCATATTCACATTTTTCACATCTTGCATACCAACAGTCCTATTAAATCCACTGCAAAGTGTGTTCTGTCTTTCCAAAGCGGTTTCTTCACAGGATATTTTGCTTTTTGAGCGATATTATTGAGTGTTTGTGTTGGCTATTCCATTAGTTATAACTTTTCAGTTTTCGTTTGGCTAATTTTTGGGAAGCAGTGCAGTGCTCTCATCTGTGCTGGAGAACTCCCTGCGGCTGAGGGTAGCCACGGGTCAGCTTCACTGCCAAATCACCGCTTTGGGGGTTTTCACATGTGCTTTTTTACCAAGTCACTTCACAGGACATGTTTGAAAATTGACTTTGCAGTAACTCCGGCCTTTTCTCTTTCAAGAATCCAACAAGTTAAAGCTGCAGAAAATAGAGCCTTGGAACAGCGTGCGCGTCACCTTTAACATACCGCGCGAAGCTGCGGAGCGGCTGCGCATCCTGGCTCAGAATAACAACCAACAGCTTCGTGATCTGGGGATTCTCTCTGTTCAGATTGAAGGTATTTCATGCTTAATTTGTTTTCCTGGGCGTTATAATGAATACATACTACAATTTTAAGCACTCTCATCAAGAGGTTTTGTGTACTTAGTTAATGTTATGAATGTCATAATTCAGCAATTTGGAGAATAATTTCAATGAAAAGGGAGTGTAAGGCTTTTATTCTTCTGAGAGTAGGTATTATAGAAATAATAATAACAGAGGCTGAAAATCCTGTAAGCAGCAGGAAACCTGCTGAAGAATGTTCTTGTGAGTGTTACTAGCAAAATGTGCCCTGTTCCTGATTGGCTCCTGTGAGGCTTTTTTAAATGAAGGTTTCAGTGGAGTTCATGACTGAAACATCTGTCCTGGGCAGCTGTTCTCAGAGCACACTGAGGATGAAATTGAAGGCACTTAATGCTTGCCACGATGCTGTCTTTTTTGAAAATTGAAACATAAAGATAAGGGTATTATGCATAACTTACAAAGTGCATATTATAGGTAAAGTTTGTTCTTCCTTCCTTGGCATCTTTTAAATATCCTTTTGAAGGTGTCTGTATTCTGCTTTCCTGTATATCATTCAATTCCCCTAACTTCTGTGTTACTTGTAGGGGAAGGTGCTATCAATTTAGCTCTAGCTCAAAATAGAAGCCAAGATGTCCGAATCAATGGGCCCCTGGGAGCAAACAACTCAGTACGAATGGAAACTGGATTTCCCATGCAAGGGGGACAAGGTAAATTGCTTTTTAAAGAAATGATTTAGATTTACAAAGCTTGGAATTTATGAAGCATATTATGAAATTTCACTGGTCATAGCAATTACTGTTACAAGAATTATAGTTGCCATAAAATTGGTGTATGTTCTTGTTTCTGCACTGTCTAATCCCAGGTCATGTAAATCATGGGCTGTGTTTTCCGTGTTAACACTGGAGTGATTTGGGTGGGGCAGGTTTTTTTTGGCTTTTTTGAATCATTTTTTTGTTAGAGGCTGTAAAATCACTTTGGTCTTGTAGAGTGACTTCACTTTAAAATGTGCAGAGATTATGGCACAGTTCTGTTTTTATGGCACTTGGCGTAAGGTTTGATTCAGTGCAGAAAAGTAAGCTATTGCAGGTGAAATCTGGTGCGATGAAGTGAAGGATGGGGCACTGTCATTATTCTTGGTCTCTATCTTTGGATAACCTTCAGAGATCTGATCACAGAGAACTGCATTTCTTTAAGAGGTGAAGTCTTATTGAGTGCCTGGTTTGTATGTGCATAGTAAGCAATTTTTCATTATAAAAGGGAGATTTTATTAGAAGTTGAAGGAAAAACACTATGTCATTTAACAGCTGAATCAAAAGGTGAGATAAACTAAGTGGTATCTTAGTAAATAGGACTTCATGCAGTTAGAAGACTGGGATCAACAGATAATTTAAGGCACGTTTGTGTCTGTTGATGGGAATGAATGGAAAGACTTTACCTATGTGGAAACCTGATTAAACAAAGAGTTAAATAGTAAATTGTGGTGCTTAGCAAAGGGCAGGAAAGTTTGACTCAGAAAGCTTATCTTCCATGGGATGATCATGGGGTTCCTTTCCTGCCTGCAGGTAACAATACAAATATAAGAATTTAACCATCAGGTCAGAGATACAAACCATTTTACAAAACAGCAGCCTTTGTAAAAGAGGCATTAGAACTGTTCTTTCTCACAATGCATTACTTTGGTACAGTTTTGTCACTTGGTGCCAAGTCAGGCAAGAGAGGAAAGCTTCAAATAGTTGGTAATAGGCAGATTCTTTCTACAGCCTTCTAAGCCTTTGGTGTTAAAGTCATTCTGAAGCAGAGCCTTTAATTTGTGTGTTTTATTCCAGAGGCAGAGATCTGTGTCCTCCAGCTATTTCAGGAGAACAATTTGTAAAGTCTAAATGCTTTTTTTTTTTTTTTTTAATGCTTTTCTATGTAAAAATTGCTGTACTCGGTAATATGCTGGCTTTTTAATTATTATTATTTTTTTTTTTTTAAGGTTTGATAAGAATGAGCAATGCTGCAGCTGTTATGATGTCCCAGAGTGGAAGCATGCCATCCTCTGTGGTGGCAGGTGGTGCTGGTACAGAGCTGCAGCCAAGAACACCTCGACCTTCCTCACAGCCAGGTTGTAAAAGTTACTCATAGCACTGGTCTTTACTAGAAATGTTTACCTGGAATGTTTTTCTTCAGTGTGCAAGTTTGAGACTGTACTTGTAAATGAACTCCAGAGTTTCCTGAAGCTTTTCCTTCGCCTTTTCTGAGAGTTGCTCTTTCTGGAGGGCCCTCCTTGTCCCTGTTCGTATGGTGACATTTGTCAGATAACACGGGGATCTGAAGTCTCCAGGTTCCTTAATGTTTTCTTCAAATGTGTTGAGCAGCAGCGGTATCCTTTGCGTGTAACACTGTTAGGACAGAGCTTTGTCTTAAGGAGAGAAATGGTTGAATGAGTCAGGGGTCTGCAGTAGGAAGCACGTGTGCCAGATTAAGGACAGGAGCTTTAGAAACAGGATTAGAGAGAGTAGAAACTTAATGTTTGGGGATCTTGGTGGGAGGGGCTTACCTCAATTTATGGTTATTTTCTTCATAATTATGAGACTGTAGAAAAAGAGAGGAGATTATTAGTTCTCCCTTCATAAAATTGTAGTAGTATTTACCAGCTTCCTTTAGATCTTTGCAGGATTTATTCTTACAGACAACATTTTTAATGAATGTTTCAAATATTCTAGGACTGTGTTAATTCCTCATTTTGCCACTTTTTTAGCTGGTAGGAATAATACCTGTTAACGTTTGTGTTATTCTACCAGTAAGTGTGTAGAAGGTTTGTGTTTGTAGGAACAGGTGCAATGGAGTTACCCATTTTTATTTATTTTTTTTTTAGAGGTTATAAATTCATGAGACTTGGAAGGTTTTCAAAGGGAATGCTGAGAAGCCAAGTGTTGTCTGTCCTGTCTGTTGAAGGAATTGGAGCACTGGAGTGTGAATATTTGTTAGACCTTAATTTCAGCAGAGTGAACAGATGCAAGCAAACAATTTACCCTTCCTTGTTTTGTGGTGGTTTTTGTCTACAGTAGGTTATTTACTTATATTTTAACTTTTCTTTGCTATTTTAATAGATGCAATGGACCCACTTTTATCTGGGTTAAATATCCAGCAGCAAAATCATCCATCTGGATCTTTAGCTCCGCAACTCCATTCAATGCAATCAGTTCCTGTAAACAGGCAAATGAACTCAGCCAACTTTCAGCAACTACAGCAACAAACACAGTTGCAGACACGTCCTCCCCAGCCACATCAGCAGCCGCAGCAGGGTATTCGACCTTCGTTTACTTCACCAGCACAGGTTCCGGTTCCCCCTGGCTGGAACCAGCTTCCTTCAGGAGCACATCAGCCTCCTCCAACCCAGGGAGCACTAGGTACCTTGACAGTAAACCAGGGTTGGAAAAAGGCCCCTTTACCTGGACAAATGCAACAGCAACTTCAAGCAAGACCATCTCTAGCCACAGTACAAACTCCTACTCATCCTCCACCTCCATATCCTTTCGGAAGCCAGCAAGCTTCCCAGGCTCACTCAAACTTTCCCCAAATGAGCAATCCTGGCCAGTTTACTGCTCCTCAAATGAAAAGCCTTCAGGGAGGGCCCTCACGCGTTCCTACACCACTACAACAACCCCACTTGACCAACAAGTCTCCTGCTTCCTCTCCCTCCTCCTTCCAGCAGGGATCTCCTGCATCATCTCCAACAGTTAACCAGACGCAGCAGCAGATGGGACCAAGGCCTCCCCAAAGTAGCACGCTTCCCCAGGGATTTCAGCAGACTGTCAGTTCTCCTAGTCGTAATCCTATGGTGCAACAGGGGAACGTACCCCCCAACTTCATGGTGATGCAGCAGCAGAACCAAGGTCCACAAGGTTTACACCCTGGCTTAGGAGGTAAGAAGTACTAAGACTGTCTTTTACAATAAAAGAAAGAACATAAAATGGCTAGAACTAATGGTGTTGTTCCTTTCCAAAAAATTGTTCAGAGACAAAATGAAGATGTAGGTTGTGTACCTGTAAGGTGAGTATGGGTGAATTAGCATCAGTCACTTCAGTTCTACTACCTACCTGTGTCCTGACGTGCTGCGTTAGTAACCTAGAAGTGAACTCTTGGCCGTGGCAACGAAGTTGTTGTATGTAGTTTCTGCTTATGACTCCTTGTCATCCTCTTGGCAGTTCTTCTGTTGCCTTACAGCAAGTTCAGAATAGGCAAAGATATTGTTTGTTTGTTTTGAAAGGGAGAGAGTTCAATAAAAACAAATGAATGTTTTTTTCCCTTCAGCTTTGTCTGTCACCACTTACGTTCTCTGCTGCAGAAATGAAGCATTATTTTACATCTTCCCTTCTAAGTTGTGGATGTTTCCTCTTGACCCTGTCTTTATTTGTCATCAGTTTCTTCACTATTAAAGCACTGCTACTGCTGTTCCCTGTTCTTAAATGAGAAAGTAAAGGGAGGTTTTAATTTCCTCTTTGGTCTTGTGGTCCTTCGTTTTCTCTTTGGATCTCCTCATTCACGCTTTTGCCTTACTGCTCTCAGAAGGCTTCTCTAGCAATGGCAGAATTTCATTTATGAATCCTAAGATCTCTTTTGTGTCCTCGTTTTTCTTTTTCCTTTGTGCCTTTTATGGTGCTGTGCCTGACTTGTAGCAATTCTCTCTGTTTGTCTTTCTCCTGAATGGCTGCTCTCAGGTGCCTGTGCACAGGCTCTTTTCCTTCTGTACTTACAAAGTCTAGGCCATGTTCTCTATCTACCTCCACAGACAGTCCTGTATGTATTCTGTTTTCCTGTGTTCTCACACTGTGCATCCGATACAGCTTGGCTGAGCTGTAACAAGTACCATTCCTTGGTCTACTCATCTAGGCAGGTGTCTTTGCTGTTTGTGTTGTGGATCTCATTTGGATTTGGTTCAGTTTGATTCATCTGAATTGTCTCAGTTTTAGGGTTTTCCTCCTGTAGACTGGTTTCAGGGTCTGGCAGTGCCTTTTGCTTGCTACCTCCTTTCTTGTCTTCACCGGCCACGTATTTTGAGAACTGTCACATTTCCTTACAGTTTTGTCTCTCCAGCTGTATGTCCTCGGTCAAGAATCACTATCTTCTAGGTAATGTAACCCTGACTTCTAGACAGCCTAACCTCTGCATACTTACTATGTAAACCTACTATAGACAAAACCCTACTTTTGCTCTGTTAAAAATAACAACCCAAATAAACTATCAAAATAGGTTATTTGGACTCACTCCAGGCTCTATTGCTAAAATCAGTAATCCTGCTGTGAGCTGTATCCTCAGATCTTTTAAAAAGATCCTTTAAAAACGATTCTGTTGATTTAAACAAAGCTACGGCACCTTCTAGTTGCTGAGGTTTTTGCCTGGCTTCTGTCCATGCTTAGTCCTTCCTGCAGTTTAGACAATAATTAGGCCATAGTTAGGGATTTTTCCATTTTTGAGCCATTTTGCATTTAAAGGCTTAGTGTAAATGAATACATTCCAACACTTTTACCTGGTTAATTTTGCAATTCAGAAGAGGCCGAATTTAACTTTCCTCAATTAAAGCATTCCTATGTGCAGAATTTTGCTCTAAGTTTTGCAGAACTGGAACTATAGTCCTGTAATGTGTTGTTGGAAATAATTGTTCCGTATTTACAGATGCACCTGATGTTGGACTTATGAACTCAACTATATTAAAGTATTAGTTGTAGACATGAGACCAGATTAATTTACATGAGCAATACAGTTAAAGTGTGCAAGGAAGCTGTAGTCATAGAAGGAGCCAAGGTTAAATCCTGGCTGTAAATCAGGAAAATACAGCAGTATGGAGTTTCTAATAGGTCTGTGGTACTGTATATTTGATGGTGAGGTAAAGAGGTGGGTTTTGCTAGAGGCCTTCATGCTGCTGCTCATTTTGCTGGGAACGGTGCAATTCTTGCTCTCTGTCGCAGGACAGCAGTGGTGTTGTGATGTGTCCAAGTGTGGGCATTGTGCCAGGCACAGACCTGGCAGAATACTTGCAGTAGGAGTAACAGGGTTGCATATATAAACTTGGGACTTGCTGCAGCTAAGTCTCTTTGTGGGTAGCTAAGCCCTGTTCTGTCTCATTACCTGGAAGATTCTTCAGCTCAGCCCTCCATGGGCCTAACAGTCACTTCGAGTCTGTATGTACGTGGACCAGCAGGGCGAAGGAGTGCTAGGAAGTTGTACCTGGTGTGTTGTGGTGGCAGGTCTTGTTGAGAGGAGAAAAAGTGTCATAAAAATGCAAGATATCTGTATTTGCTTACATGGAGTAAGTTAAGGTCCTGCTGAGAGATGAGCAGCAGTAGAGAACAGCAGATGATGGTACTTCAGATTCTGGTTTCTGAAAATTCTGACTTTTCCCCTTTTCTGTGGGGTTATGTTCTGCTTAGACTAGAAGCAGAGTTATGTTTTCAGTGGAGTCGTGGTGCTTTGTTAGGCAGAACTATTGCACAGGTAAGAATTCTAAGTATGCTTTCAATGGGTTTCACGTATTGGCAAAAATTACTTTCTTCCTAAACCAGAAGTGTGACAGTACATACTCAAAGGGATTCTTCCTACTGAAATCCAATTACAGATTTTTTTCTTTCCTCTTTATTCTTCTCTCTTTCTTCTTTCCCTGCTTACTAATGAGAAAATTCTTGTGTTAAGGAATGCCCAAGCGCCTCCCTCCTGGGTTCCCTGCAGGCCAGGCTAACCAGAGCTTCATGCAAGGTCAGGTGCCTTCCACAGCACCAGGAACACCAGTGAACAGTGGAGCTCCACAGCTACAAACCAGCCAAAATGTGCAGCACACAGGTCTGTTTGGAACGTGTTGTTCCTCAGTTATTGATGGCTTGTTTTGTTTTTGTTGGTGTTTTTTTTGTTTTTTTTTTTTTTTGTATGTAGAAAATGATGCTTTTACTTGCATAACACAATTATAAAACATTACATTCTTACTAGTAATGGAGTATTGTAGCTAGCTTGGACTGAAAGTGCTTAGTGGCATTTTATGTGTATTGTTAAATGAGGAAAAGAAAATCAAGTGGCAGGTTGTACTCAAGTATTATTACTTAGGACTGTCATCCTAGGATCCATACGTATCTGTTTGGAAGTTAAAAAGGATTGGCAATAGGATTTGGAGGCTAGGGGTAATGAAGATACAGCACAAAATAAACTTTTTGTCCTGAAAAAAAGAAGAGTGTTATCTTAGGAAAAAGAAGAAAAGAAGCACCTTGTTTTATTTTAAAAAGTTACTAGTTTCTCTGAAAGCTTTGGAAATCAGCTTAAAGAGAGTTTTGTGGAAAAAAAAAATCTGTAGTTCATAAATATTTTAACAATTTGGTTATCAGCCTTCCATCTGGATTATGTCCCCTCATTACTACTATATGTGTGTTTATTTTTTTACCTATTATAAAATAACCTCAAGGTTTGAAGCTTCTTGCAGTTGGTAATCATTTTGTGAAGTTAGGTGCTATTGTGGAATATTTTTAGGCTTATGTACAGATAATGACTGAAATGAAAGCTGTGATGAGCCTTCTGCAGTGGGGTCCACAAAGGAAGCACCAGTGGAGGTGCTTGTCTTGAGAAGTGCTGGTATGATTTTCTGTTTTGACAAGTAATGTTTATCTGTGGTACCAAACATCATAGCATAGAACTGGAAATATGTCCAATGTTCCAGTGTTCAGGAGCGTGAATTTGGAGTAGTTATTCACCATCAAATTTGAAAACTTTCTATCACTCCCATCGGTTTCTAACCAGCTTTTTAACAATTGTTTTTAAAGGTGGCCAAGGATCTGGGCCTCCTCAAAATCAGATGCAAGCACCGCATGGCCCACCAAATATAATGCAGACCAATTTAATGGGACTTCATGGAAATATGAACAACCAGCAGGCTGGTGCTAGCGGAGTGCCACAAGTTAACATGGGCAACATACAAGGACAGCCTCAACAAGGACCACAGTCTCAGCTTATGGGAATGCATCAGCAAATTGTATCCTCTCAAGGACAGATGGTAAATATTCAGGCTCAGGGATCGATGAACCCTCAGAACCAGATGATACTTTCTCGAACTCAGCTCATGCCGCAAGGCCAAATGATGGTAACACCACAAAATCAAAATCTTGGTCCTTCACCCCAAAGGATGACCCCACCCAAACAGATGATTTCCCAGCAGGGACAACAGATGATGTCTACACACAATCAGATGATGGGACCTCAAGGTCAGGTCTTGTTACAGCCAAACTCAATGATGGAACAGATGATGACCACTCAAATGCAGGGAAATAAACAGCCTTTTAATACGCAAAACCAGTCCAGTGTTATGTCGGGGCCAGCTCAACTGATGAGAGGACCAACCCCAAACATGCAAGGCAACATGGTGCAGTTCACTGGGCAGATGATGGCTCAACAAGGCCCTGTGAATGGTAACCCTTCTCAGGTTATGGGAATACAAGGGCAAGTTTTAAGACCGACTGGGCCTGGCCCCCACATGTCTCAGCAACTTGGGGATACTACTACTGCAACAAGTAGTGATGTGAATGTGACACAGATGTTACCTGATGTTCCTGTGCAGCAGTCTAACATGGTGCCTTCCCATATGCAAGCAATGCAAGGAGGCAGCAGTGCTTCGGGGAGTCATTTCTCTGGCCACGGTCTGCCGTTCAATTCCGGGTTTAGCGGAACGCCAAATGGGAATCAGATTTCCTGTGGACAGAATCCTGGTTTTCCTGTCAATAAGGATGTCACGCTCACAAGCCCGCTCTTGGTGAACCTTCTACAGAGCGATATATCAGCAGGACACTTCGGTGTGAACAACAAAACAAATAGTCAGAATGCCAGTAAGCCAAAGAAGAAGAAGCCTCCAAGGAAAAAGAAAACTAATCAACAACTGGAACAAACAAAGTAGGTTTAATATTACACTGGTTTTTTTAAGGGATGTGGGAAGGCCTCGCAGGCAACCTGTCAGTGTGTTTTCAGCTAGCGTGGAGTTAGAACTGCTTTATTTCGTATGCTAGCAGTTTCACTCAAGTGATAGCTCCATGCCTCTGCAAAGTTCATTCAGGATCAAGAAGAACATGCAAACATCCTATTTAAGTAATACTTCTGCTTAAAATAGCAATGTTTGCTGCATTTACTGGGTAAAAGAGATGAGAAGCTTTTTTCAAAATGTTAGTGGATTCCTGGGGCCTTGGTGTTGGAAATGGAGGCTGCCACTCTCAAGCAATCTGACGGTCACAGGCAGACAGTTGGGAAGCACATTCAGAAGATTTATAAGCCTTTGTATAGCAATATGTTGTATAGATTTTTGAAGGGGGTTGGAGGTCCCTTCCAACCCCTACAATTCTGTGATTCTGTGATTTTTCTGGAGACATGTATATGCTATTGTGTTTCTGCCTGGAATTGAGCTGGTCTTCTCGTAGGGGAAGTTGCAGCTAGGAGTTGGAGTGTGGTACTCTCTGGGTGTGGGAATAACAAGCCCAAGCAATGCTGGCCTTCCTAGCCTGGAGGAGGTTAGGAGGAAAAGCCCTGAGAGGAATCTACATGTTGGTTTAAACTTCTGTGGGTTTTTTTCCCAATTTGCTTTAGAAAAGAATGGAAGAAGTTTGAGCAAATTTGCAGCACAGGAATATCCAGATTTGCATTTATTTACATCGCAAGGGATCTTCTGTGACAGTCCTTAACTGCCTTAATCTCCTAGTGCTGCTATAAAACGCCTTTTGCAGATGTGGAGGTGCTGAATGGTGAAGGCCAGGCAAAGCACTCCAGTTTAAAAGGCTCAGAAGAAATGTCAAATATCTGCTGTTTAGTTGTACACACAGGCCATGGTACAGCCTGTCAGCTCAAATTGCTGCAAAACAGGCCTGGTGATTTCAAATTAAATCATCAGAAATTATGGCATTAGAACCAAGTGGCCAAAATACACACAGTGTGCAACACTGGTGTGCCTTGGAATGAATGTCCTGCCTTCAAATGGGACTTGAATTAAAAGCAAAGAGGTATTTTTGTCTGTTGTTTTCTTGAACTTTAAGGCTATCCAGGTACCTTTCACACAATAACTACGGCATATTTTTGTTTGCATAAGAACGTTGCATGACGCTAGCAACAGTGCACTGTGGGCACTGCTCATTTGCAGCAAAGGAAAATACATAGTCCTTGTGTCGTTATTAAAGAAAAGCCAAAAGCCTTGTGTTCATTAAAGAAAAGCCTCGTTGCAGTTTTGTTTTCATTGCTCTTGCTGATGGTCATGCAGCCTCAGAGTAGCCTGGGAATATCAGTAAATGGATGGATAAAGCTGCTGCAGAATCTCCCAGAGGACTATTTGCTGTTATAGAGTTTGCACTGCCTTCCCTGTATCTTTATTTCTTCCAGTCTTATGTCAGCATCTGCATCTCTTTTTTTTGTTGTTGTTGTTTCTTTGCTGGTGAGGTGTTGTTTTTTTCTGCTTAGCCTAGTTTTTTTTTCTTTTGACATTCTCTTTGTGCTCTGACTGCAGGTTCATATCTGAGAGCCGTGCTCAGCAATGCAGCGGTAGAGCTAAAGTGCCCTTAGAAAACTGCTAATCCATACTGTGCAGCTGGTTTGTCTTTGCACTAAGAGCAGTAGGAGGGAAGAACAAATAAGGGATGTTTGTCCCTCTGGCACAGACTCGCTGTTATGTGTATTCAGAATGTGGTGGGCTTCTTAGATAGCTGGTGGTTGTTAAATGGGCTCAGTAAAGTTCAGCTGCTTTTGAAATTCAGTTTGTGTTTAAATTTCCCGGAAACTGTAGCAGCAGTTGTTCCTGCAGTAGTCGCTGTTCCTGGTTGCTAGAGAACAAAACTCCAGTTGAGTTTAGCGAGGTTTTGTTTTGCAGCTTGCTTGATGGCTCCCATCTGGCTGGAGGTGTGTCGGAAGAATTGATTTTGCACAAGGACAGCTCTCCAGGTTAAGCCTGTTTGTGTGGTAATGCTCTGCAACTGCTTTTCATCTGACCCTTAACTGTAACATTTGTAATCCCCATCCCCATTTTTAAGAAATCACAGAAATGTAGAACATCCCCATTTGCAAGGAGCACATCTGGCTCCACAAAGCACCCCAAACCATTGGCTCAGTGGGGCAGTGTCCCGGCACTCCCTGACCTTAGGCTCTGGGGCTGTGCCCACCGCTGTTCGGGCAGAGCCTTTCTCTGACCCACACCTGAGCCTCCCCTGCTGACCAGTGAAAATTCAGGGGCTTCCAAGTTGCTCCCTGTTTTCTGAGCACTGGGTAGTTAATAGGACGTTGGGGCAGGCCTGAGTTTCTTGCTGCCAGCTGTCCATATACCAGAAGCGGGCTGTTACTGTCAGGTAAACTTTTATATAATTCTTGTTTTGCTGAGAGTTTCTTTTTCCTCATCATTCCTGTAGAACTCTGCTTCTCTTTGCAGGCAGCAGATCTGTTTTGGTGTCTTTAGTTTAAGTGGAGAGCTGTTATTACATAGATCTCCATGCAGCCTCAGTATATTCATGAAACCAATAAGCCATTAAGGTATTTTACTCTTCATCCCTCTTCATCTTACATCCTCTGGCCACACGTTAGCTACAAAAGCATGCTTGTTCTAAGCTTGCAAAAGCTGTTGTGATGCAGTGGAAGCATTGGATGTCAAATCTTGGCAATTTTAACTTGTCTCCCAGGATCTCCTGGAGCAGGGTCTGCGTTCCACAGAGCTGTGTGCTCTGGTGGATGGCCTTGAATGCCTGATGTCGATACGTTTGTGCTGTGACATGGATAGAGGTCTGATATCCTAAGCTGGTCTCCCCTGGGAACTTGGTGCTGCCACTGAAGTTCAGTGCATACATACACGATACTTATCTGTACAGGTGGCATGGCAGTGTTCGAGGGAAGCCTGTTTGAATGCATCAGGAGAGCCATTTATATATGAATTTGAAGTATTCACTGGCATTCTCTTAATTATAAACAGGAAGAAACAAAGGAAAGGAACAAATGCTTTGGGTGAGTAAAGCACCAGGCAGCTTCTCTCTTCAGGAGGAGTGCTTCAGGCCCAGAAGTGACTGCCGGTAGTCCTGGGCTGCGTTCACATCTGCTGTGCTGTACCTGAGGCAGTGATCTGTTTCCATGAGTTACTTGCAGGTCAGCCAGAAGTGCTGGGATGGTTGTGGAAGCAGAATCCAAACACTGATGTTACGGCTGTATGTAAACAGCAATTATTTTTCTTCCAGCTCCTCAGAACCTCGTGCGGGCGGCCTGGAGGAGAGCGATCAGTCATCAACGTCCGGAGATCAGGGAATCAGCCTAGACAGCTCAGGCCCTAAACTTTCAGACTTTGGCAGCAGGCCACCAGGTGAGTGTTACATGTTGTCACTACAGTAGAGCTTTTACTGATCTTTGTGACTTTCTTGCACATTCAAGACCAAGCTTTCTTTTTTTTTTTTTTTTTTTTTCTCCTAGTAAATAATAGATTCCTTTACTTGTGTTCTTTGAACCAGCTCTAAATGAATAGATGTCTGCATCCTCGTGTATCACCTGAAGGTGATACGTGTTGAATATTATCATGTTGAATACTGTAGAATTACTACTCTTAATTCTGAATAGATTTCTGTACTTCTAGTAGTAGCACAGACTGGTGTCTTTAAAACTGACCAGTAGCCAGTAGTTGATTTTTCAAAATTAAGAGATGGAGGTTACTGTTGGAATTATCCTTTATTCATAGGAAGGATTATATGCTGCGTGTGTTCCTTTCAGCACGCTCTTTGCAAAGTAACACATTGATGCATGGTAGATTCTACTTTGTACAGTGGGAATGGTCAGATATGTAACAGGCTTTCCAGTTCTTGTCTTACAAACTGTTAGGTTTGTTTTGAGGATAATTAATTTGTGAAAGTTTAACTCTGCATTTGAAAGCAGCAACAAGCCTGTGGACAGGTGTAGAGGCTTTCTGAGGTGTTGTGAAGCCAGAGTAATAGCTGGTCACTGGAATGTTAGAGACCTTCCATTCAGTGTCACACAGGTCGTTTATAATCCTTAAAAACACTTTAAGTGAAATAATTTCCCTTGTTTATAAAGCCTGTTTAGTTAATGTGGCTGTTACAGGGGATTAACAGGCTCTCCTGTTAACCTACACCTCCTATCTGATGCCATTCATTACATAAATCCTGCTTTCTCTGATTTTTGTTTCTGATCAGCATGTCACTGTGTCCTCCTAGGTTATCCTTCTCAGCCAGTGGAACAAAGACCACTTCAGCAGATTCCGCCTCAACTCATGCCACATACCCAGCAGCCACAGCAGCTGCAACAGCAGCCACAGCTGCCTCCACAGCAAGCTCAGGCACCACCACAAACACCGCAGCAACAGCAGCAAATGATGATGATGCTTATGATGCAGCAGGACTCCAAATCAGTCAGGCTTCCCGTACCACAAGGAGTTCATCCACCTCGAGGGCCTCTGAATCCAGATGCCCAAAGAATGCCCATGCAGCAGAGTGGTAACATGCCAGTAATGGTCAATCTACAGGGCCCTGGATCTGTGCCTCTGTCTCCTGATAAACAGAGAATTTCCTTGCCAAGCAATCCTTCTCTGGGAAATAATGCAAGAAAAATGGTTTATCAAGATAATGTGCAGAATCCTTCCAGCTCGCCTCTGGGAGAAGTTTCATCAGTATCCTCCCTTCCAGAAGGAGGTGGAACTGAAGGCACCACAGCATCAGGAGCTCAGAATAATTTGACATCTCATTTAGTAGTTTCACAGAACCAATTAATGATGACAGGAGCCAAACCTGGACCATCCCCACTTTCAACCACCCAAGGCACAAGTCCTCAACAGCAATCTAATTCTCTGCCTGGCTCCCTTGCACACCATTTTCCTAATGTTGCTACCCCATCACAAACTTCAAGGCCTAAAACCCCAAACAGAGCAAGCCCAAGGCCATACTATCCTCAGACTCCTAATAACCGCCCGCCTAGCACAGAACCCTCAGAAATAAGCCTGTCTCCAGAGAGACTCAATGCTTCTATAGCTGGTCTTTTCCCTCCCCAAATTAATATTCCTTTACCTCCCAGGCCTAATCTCAGTAGAGGATTTGATCAGCAGGGTCTTAATCCTACTACTTTGAAGGCCATTGGACAAGCCCCATCAAATCTCACAATTAACAATCAGTCTAGTTTTGCTGCTCCACAGTCACATAAATTGGAAAGTGTTGTTAATTCAGGAAAGCAAACAAATGCTGGAGGAACAAAGAGAGCAAGTCCAAGCAGTAGTCGAAGGTCCAGTCCTGGATCCAGCAGGAAAACAACACCAAGTCCTGGTAGACAGAATTCAAAAGCAGCAAAGTTGTCGTTGACTACTCCGCAGAATCCATCTCTGTTGCAGAATGTAGATGTGCAAAGGAACATAATGGTTGGTCCTGCTTCTTTGCCAACACCTGTTACTTCAAGTTTTCAAAATAGTACCGTGCTAAGTAATCAGAGTCCTGCAGTTTCTGCACCTGCTATGACTGGCATTCCTGAAGACAATAAAGAGAGCCTCATTGTTCCTCAAGATAATGAATGTCAAAGTGCACAAATTGTCCAAGGTAACAAAGACCAGCCCAGCATTGAACTAAAAGGTATCCCTACTCCAGAAATAAAAATGTTGGTTCCAGAGGAGCAGTCAAAAAAAGATGGGCAGGCCTTAGACGTGGGTAAGCTTCCAGTTTTGGAGGAAAGTAAAACCATGGTATCTCCGGCTATGAGGGAAGCACCAACTTCTTTAAGCCAACTTCTTGATAATTCTGGAGCTCCTAATGTAACCATTAAGCCCCCAGGACTGACAGGTCTTGAAATGGCACCAGTAGTCACCACTGTGGAGGAGATAAAAAAGGTAGCTGTCATTCCTCCACTGCAAGATGCATCTTCTAGCAAAGAGCCATCTAATTCACATAGTTTCCCTCAAAGTAATGAGCCCTGTTCAAATCCAGGGCATCAGGAACCGGGGGAAATAAACTCAAATGTTACGCAGGGTGTTCCCCCAGTAATGCAAAGGCCTGTCACTTCTTCTATTTCAGCTCCCTTACCGCCCAACCAGATAACAGTTTTTGTAACTTCAAACCCCATTACATCTTCTGCTAATACATCAGCACCGTTGCCATCTCACTTGCAACCTGCATTAGTGTCTACTGTTGTCACAATGCCTAACGTAGGAAACAAAGTTATGGTTTCTGAGGGACAGTCGGCAGCTCAGTCTAATGCACGGCCGCAGTTCATTACACCTGTTTTTATAAACTCTTCCTCAATAATTCAGGTTATGAAAGGCTCTCAACCAAGTACGATTCCCACAGCCCCGATGACATCCAACTCTAGCCTGATGCCTCAGTCAGTTGCAGTTGTGGGCCCTTTACATATACCACAGAACATCAAGTTCTCCTCTGCACCTGCTCCTCCTAGCACATCCTCTAGCAGCCCTGCTCCTAGTATTCCCACGAGCAGGCCACTCGTTCTTAATCCCTTGGCACCCCCTGTTCAGCTGCCTTCTCCTGCTACAACTTCTTCAAATGTTCCTTCACATCTTCCTGCTCAGCCAGCAAAAGACTCGAGCCCTGAAGAAGCTGCTTCTCAGAGCAGTGGGTCAAATGACCAGTGCCCCGTTACAGCCACACAGCCTGGACCCGTGGTTTCACCTCTTCTAAGCAGTAGTCCAGGGCCCGGGAACAGACGAAGTCCTGTTTCTTCTAGTAAAGGAAAGGGAAAAGTAGACAAGATTGGCCAACTCTTGCTGACAAAAGCATGCAAGAAAGTCACTGGCTCCCTTGAGAAAGGGGAAGAGCAGTACACCTTGGATGGAGAAACAGAAGGTCAGGGGCTGGAGACCTCAGTCCCAAGCAACTTGGGAACAGAGCAGTCACCAGCAGAACTGGACAATAAAACTGTGACACCTCCAGTACCCAGTCTTACAAAACAGAGCACTTCTGGGCCTGGCAATGTGAGCGTTAGCACTGCTGCTGCTGTTTCTGCTTCTGTATCTCCAAGCTTACCAACAAGCACTCCTCCTACAAGCGCACTGTCAGCTGTAACCACTCCAGCAATCCCAGAGCTTGCGCCTGCAACACCAAGTACAAACGGCAGTAACCATGGCAGCTTACCGGCTGAGCAGGCTGGGGGTGGCTTGGTGGAGGACAAAACAGGCACACATCAGGAACTGCTGCAAAACACAGGTAAGTCTACTGCCACCCTTCTTAAATAGAAGCTGTGAGATTGCTTTCATAAGCTTCCTTGGTGCTTTCTTCCATGAGAATTATAAAATGCAGATTCTGTAGGGTGACAACTACTTTTTAATTCTAGTATTAGGATAATATGTGGACTTGTATTTCACCAAGATCCACGTTTCAGGTGTTCTTTCTGTTTTCGTTTACAGCCCATGTGTGATATTTCATGTGAACATAATAGAGGAGTGGCTTCACGTAACTTAGAAGTGGGAGAAAGATGGGATGCATCAACAGTGACAATTGGATGCATCAGACATCTTTTAAACTGGTACATAATAGAATCATAGAGTGGTTTGAGTTGGAAGGAACCTTAAAGATCATTGAGCTCCAAGCCCCCTGCCATAGGCTAGTTGGCAGCCACCAGATCAGCCTGCTCAGGGCTCCACCCAACCTTGCCTTGAACATCTCCAGGGGTGGTGCATCCATGATTTCTCTGGGCAGCACTGCCAGAGCCTCGCTGCCCTCTGGGTAAAGAATTTTTTCCTAACATCTAACTTAAATTTCTTCTTTTTCAGTTTAAAGCTATTCCCCCTTGTCCTGTTGCTATCACACATGTTAAAAGTCTCTCCCCTTCCTGCTTATAAGCTCCCCTCAAGTACTGGAAGGCCACAATGAGGTCTCAGTGGAGTCTTTTCCAAGTTAAACAAGTCCACCTCCCTCAACCTTTCTTCGTAGGAGGTGCTCCTGTGAAGAAGGAGTGGTGTCCCTTCCTTCTATGATGTCATCTGCAAACTTTTGAGGGTACGCTTGATCTTATCATCTGTGTCATTGATGAAGGTGTTCAAGAGCACTGGTCCCGGGATAGATCTGTGGAGGACAACTACTGATCACAGGCCTCCACTTGGACATAGGGCCATTGACCACGACCCTCTGGCTACAACCATCCAACCAATTCTTTATCCACCAAATAGTCCAGCCTTCAAATTCATATCTCTGCAATTTAGAGATAAGGATGTGGTGTGGGACCATGTTGAAGGCCTTGCAGAAATCCAGGTAGACAACATCTGCTTCCCTTCCTTTCCTTCCTGTCCACTGATGTTGTCACTCAATCACAGAAGGCAACCAGATTGGTCAGACGCAGGCTGTGCTTCATGAAGCTGTGCTGGCTGTCTCGGATCACCTTCTCAGCTTGCATGTGCCTTAACATCTCTTTTAGGAGGATCCACTCCATGACCTTCCCAGCCACGGACATAAAGCTCACCAGCCTGTTGTTTCCTGGGTCTTCTTTTCTCCCTTTATTAAAAATGGAAGTGATGTTTTCTTTTTTCTAGTTACCAGGAACCTTGCTTGACAGCCGTGACTTTTCAAATATGATGGTGAGACACTTGGCAACTGCATCAGCCAGCTCCTTCAGAGCCCTAGGATGCGTGTTGTCTGGCCTCACAGACTTGCACACATTCAGCTTCGTGAGGTGGTTTCAGACTTGCTCCAGTCTTACAGTGTGAGGGATTTTGTTCACCTGAGCCCTGCCTAGAAGTTCAGGAACACAAGAGGCACGGGAAGCCTGACTGGGAATGAAGACCGAGGCCAAGAATCTTTAAGTACCTCAACCTTCTCTGTATCTGAAGAAGCCAGTTCTTTCTCTCATTTATCAGAATGGGTATGCTCTCTGTTGTTTTCTAAGACCGATGTATCTCCAGTCTTTTAAGACCCTTCTTGTTATTTTTTACATCACTTGCCAAGTGGAATTCCATCTATGCTTGAATTTTCTTGATGCCATCTCTGCACATCTGTATAGTATCCCTATACTCTTTCCAGGCCGTCCATCCCCGCTTCCACTGCTTATACTATTCCTTCTTTTCCTTCAATTTTACCATTCCCCTTTGCTCGGCCATGCTGATTTTCTGTCTCCTCTCCCTGATTTCTTCTGCTGGAGGATGGAGAGCTCTTGTGCTCTCAGAAAGGTATCCTTAAAGTGCTGCCAACTCTGTTCTATTCCTTTGTCCCTAAGGGCAGTTTCCTATGGGATCTCTTCCAGTAATTCCTTAAACAGCCTGAAGTTCACTCTGCTGAAGTTCAGGATCCTGACTAGACTCTTTGCTCAGCCCGCATTCTTTGAGATCCTGAACTCAACCAAAGCGTGGCAGCTACATCCCAGGCTGCTTCCAATCTGAACCTCTTTAATGATTTCTTCTGTTTTGGTGAGCCCCAGATGCAGTAGTACTTCAGTGCTGGTTGGCCTGTCTGATGCCTGAACCAGGAATTATGTCATCAGCACACCCCAGGAGTCTCCTGGATTGTTTGCAGCCCGCTCTGCTGCTTTGCCATCAGACATTCAAGTGGTTGAAATCTCCCATCAGGATAAGAGCCTGTGAGAGCGGTGGCTCTTGGAGCTGACACACGAAGGCCTCATCCACAGGCTGTGTCTGATCAGGTGCCCCTAGCAGACCCAGCCACCAGATGTCCTTTATTGGTCCGGTCCCATATTTTCATCCACCAGCTCTCAGCATGAGCACGGCTGTTTCCCAGAGGCAGCTCTTTGTACTCTGTCCGCCTCTTAACATAGAGGGCGATGCCCCTGCCCCTCCTACCTTGTCTGTCTTTTCTGAAAAGCCTGTTGCCCTCAATCACAGTATTCCAGTTGTACGAATGAACCCAACGCATTTCTTGATTGCACCACGGCTTCCATCCCCTCCTGCTGATTTCCCCTGCTGCACACATCTGTGCAGAGGCAGCTCTGCTGGGCTATTGGCCTCATTGCCTTTTTGGAGGAGCCCTTGCAAAAATCTCTGGGGGAAATCTGAGGCGTTCCCCCACAGCTTCCTGAAGTGGCAGTGTTCCCTGATTCTTCTCTGTGCATCAGGAGTACGTTCCCTGCACCCATCAAATCTAATTTAAAGCTCTAGTAATGAGCCCTGCCAGCTTGCCCCTCCTGGTCAGGTGTATGGATCTGCTTTGGTCTTCTCAGAGTCCTTTAACATTTATAATTTACTTAAATATATAGACTTAATTCTGATATTGGGTATCATCTTCTAGGGAAATAGCTGAACTCTAGCAAAATAAGTAAATAAATAAATTATGCACAGGGAAAAATGAAAATGTTCTTTTCAGAGAGATGCTTAGAAGTTCAATTATGTCTCGATTGTGTGTTGTAACAGAAAATCTCCTCATTTCTACCTTGTTTCCTTTATAATTTTACTTTTAGCATTGACAGACTTTATTCATGACATCACTGCTTGCTCTTGATGCCATTTTAACCTGTTGGAAGCAATGTGGAAATAAGCCATCACTCTTAAAGTAATTTGAATATCCATTGTGCTTTATATTGTCAGTTTAGACAAGGTTTTTATCTTTTGGAAGACAAAAGCATGGAAAATAGGTCCCACATAAATCAGTGCAAACAAGCTTCAGTTTAAGCCTAAATTTTCCCTGTGGCTCGTTGTGTGCCATAGCTGTATGCTGCCAGAAGGTGGAAATGCTGCCTTTGAGCTTCACAGAAGGAATTATGCTTTCTTAGAAGAAAAAGTTATTGGCAGGAGCAGCGTGATGTAAGTCTGTACAGCAGTCTCAAAGCAGGAAGCAGTGATAGCACTTTCCAAATGCTGTCACTGCTTCTTGGTGTGTAAGAAAAAAATAGATGTCCCTACCTTCAGCATCAGTAGTGGGGATTCATTTATTCTCAAGTCTGAAGCAAGCTGTTCTGACTGCAGAGGGCTGCGTTCTCTTCAGATGTGGGACAGTGATGTAGGCATCTGAATGTACGTGTGTTTTTACAAATGGAAAGAATATTCTTTATCTACATTGGAACCCTTATGTGTCTGTGTTCTTGCTAAGTTCATGATCACACCCAAAAGAAGACTGGAAGGCATTTGTGTAACAGGTATTGGTTTATTATATTATTTTTTAACAAGGCAACCTAAAAAAAATGTCGAGTCATGATATCGTATTGACTAAGGACATCCTGGGAGCCTCTGGGAGCAGCTTGCACTTCTGCATGTTAATTGAAGATGATGGTATCCATTCACTAACAACGATGCTGTTTTTCCTCAAGACTTCTGCTGAAACGAGCGTGAAGCTGAGGGATGCAAAACAGAGACCTCTTTTAGGTCTCTCTTTAGTTTCTTGGTCCAGTGGCAAAACACTGCCCTTAAAAATACACTTGATGATATTTAGCTGCATCACTTAAGTGTTTTGGGAAAACCTGCTTGGGGTAGGTTGGCTGATGGTTTTAGGTGTGAGAGGTTTTTGTTGTTTGTTTTTAAACTGAGGAGCTGGAGGTTTTTTGGGGGGGGGGGTGGAGGGGGTAGAATAGAATACGGATTACAACAATTCTATCTGTAAATGTAAAAATGAAGTAAGTTGGAAGATGCCTTGTTCTGTAAAAGCAGCCCAATTGCTGCTTTTACAGCAAAAAAAACCTTGTGACTCCGTTTGAAAATAATGGTTTTTCCCCTCCACTTCTGTTCTAGCATCCTCTCAACATTTAACGCAGAAAAAAAGTTCAGTTGCCACAACAGAAAGTACTGTTCAAAGAACAGGTAAATTTTCCTTTGGAAAAGCAGAATGTAGGTGACCTAAGCTCATTATGTTTCTAACTGAAAATGGTAAATCATGAATAAGCTTGCTAGTTTGGCTTTTTTTTTTAATTTATTTTTTTATTTTTATTTGGGGGGATTGTTTTCTTTTATTATATATGTTGTGCCTTAGAAGTTTCCAAAGCCTCGTTGGAGCACAAGTAGGAGGGTGAATAAAGCAAGGAAGAAATCACCAAGGCAGCTTTTAGATCTCAGTCGCAGCTGTAAAAGGCTGGATTCACAGTGATGCACTCAGCGTGTCTGAGCTTTGAAGTTTGAAGGACAAATAGGAGTTTTTCTTGTTGCGTAGGACGCTTCTGAAAATATTTCCCAAAGCAGTACTGAGAGGTTAATTTTTAGAGTTCTAATCCTTTGTTCATTTTATTTATCTTTCCATTCAAAGCTTTTAAAGAGCACTCTGCATTGTTTCAGGGATGGAGCTGTGGCAGATCACAGAGTCATAGAGTGCTTTGGGTTGGAAGAGACCTTTAAGACCACCTAGTTCCAACCCAAAAGTGACTTTTTGTTGTTGCCATCTATTATCATATACATCAATCCTACAGTGTTTTATGAAAGTAATTCCTAAGATGAATGAGGAAAATGGGCAGATGTGAAGTTGGACATGAGAAGTGCCATTTCCATCACTTTGCTGTGTGTAGCATGATTAGAAGTAAAGCTTGAGAAAAGTAAAAATTGTCCTCGGTTGCTTTCGTCAAGCTCCCTTCTCGAGGAGTGCACACACCCTGCCAGGGTGCCACGTGTCTCCTCGCACTGGCACACGTGTAGCCATGTGTGCAGCCACAGAGTTCCTGCTCAGGAAAGGAAAGCACTGGTCTGACTGATTTTTGCTGTGGCTGTTCTGCCTACTCACGTTTCAGTAGAAAGAAAGAGCAACTTTTTCTTCCTCATTCTATTTTTCTTACTGAGATGAGTTTTTGGGCACAGTTACGTACACTTTCGCTGAAGAATCTCATGTTCCATAACAGGGCTAGGGTTGTTCTCTGCGTCTTTTCATGGCTTTGTTCCTTGTGTGCATTACAGCAAATGTGGAGCACTGAATTGATCTTAAAGACAAAGCCACTGCCACAAACACTGAAAGATAAAGGTGAGGTGGAGGCCAGCACAGGCAGTGCAGTCATTAAACAGTAAGCTAAGATAGTGCATTTCAGTGATAATCTCTAGATCAGTTGCAGTTTCTCACAAGAGGCTCAGTGATCAGGTAGAGGTACTCCATCTCAGCAAAATGGTAGATATGGGGGTAATTAAAAGATGGACAATTAAATTAATAATTAAAAAAAAGGATTGGAAATATGACATGACATAAATCATTGCTGCTGTGAACAGTCAAAGGAAAAGCAGAGTTATTTATGATATCACTAGGAGGGAGGAGGAAGGCAGAGCACAGTGCTCTTTGGCACCTCCAAAAGCAGTCTCCACCTTAGCAGAAGTGTAGCTGGGCTTCAGAAGTGTGTGTTCCTTCTGCACCTCCCTACAAAATTCGTTAGGAGATACTGCTTTCAGGTGGTTGTGTTAAAGAAAAATGTTTGTCAGTTGTACGGTAGGTTCAGATCAGTATTTTTAAGTTTTAAAACAATAAAAATGTAGAAGCCTTGAAAGGAATAAGCCAACTAACATAGAATTTATAAGGGAGAGGACTGTAATTCTTATTAGAAAGTTTATCTGCAGTTTCTTTCTGCGGGAGTTAAAAGAAACCTTTCCTTTTTGCAGCTGGTGCAGGCCCTCATCAGAGCACTGCCTGATGTCTGCCTCATTGGGTGCATTAGATGGATTTGCTTTGAGAGTAACAGTAGACAAGAAACACTTAATGGTCAGACATAATGAGTAATGAGAGAACTGTGAAATAGCCATGCCTTGTTAGCAAGTATGTACTTCTACAGCGGGCCTAAAAACTATCTTTTTCTCTTGTAGAACTTGAAACAAATGCTCCAGTAGTTGCTGGTCAAAGGTAAGGAGATAGTTTATATAGATTCAGAATAGATACAGCTTCATGCAGGGAAGTCCTTTTCTCTTTGCTTCAATTGCACAAATTAAAATATATATATATATATATATATATATCTTCTGCTGTGGTTATTCACTTTCTTTGCCAAACCTTTTCTTCCCTACTCAGGAATTCTGCTAGGAAACTGTTCCAAAATGTGACTGAAATGCAGAATTTAAGATAGCTTTCTCCCAAGTCTGTCTTCGTGCTCTGGGCAGTTTCCTCCTGTTTGCTCAGCCCCTTCCACATCCTGGAGGGGTCTTGGTGCTTCTAGCGTTTGGTATTTTCTGAGGACAAATTAAAAATGCAACCCCAGAAGCCTGCAGAACAGCTGTTGGGAATTTTTTCTTTTCTGAAAGTAGGACTTTGTAAAGGCTTTCTTTTTCTTGTTACAGCTTATATGTGCCTTAGTTACTGTTTTCTGCAGATTTCCTCTGTTTTCCTGTTGATGCTTTGCTGAAACCTGATAGGAAAGCCTGACAGAAACTTTGTCTTGTCCTAGTTAAGACTTTTGATAATTAAAGAGTAAATTTTGAATGGTTGTGTTCTGTCAGAAGAAAATAGCATTTTCAAGATCAGTTTCTGTTAATTCTAAAACTACCTGGCTCTTGCACTCAGATGTCAAGGAACAAATAAGAGTCTCAGATGCGCTCAGATGCTCTGGCAGCTCTGATGTCAAACCTGTAAGATTTCTTTGGTAGCTGCTGGTACCACTGGCTGTGGTCTCGGTGCTGCCCTGCTCAAAGGGAAGTGGTACCAGAAGCGGGGTTAATGGTGCAGCTTGCTTCAGCCCATCAGGAAATGAAGCGGGTAAGGGAGGGAAAGCAATGTACGTTCTCATATCAGGAAAGACTGTGAATCAAACGTCTGCCTCTGCTTACCTTCACATGGGCTGGGACCTTTCCAGAGTTGTATCAAGGACAGACCGGAAGGCTGATGGTTTTTTTTTTTAGGATAGAGTTTTTCTACTAAGCTGAAGGTGAGACAGTTGGCACATGAGAGGATTCTCCGTATTTGACTGTCATTCAGTACATCCGATTATCTCAAGTACATTTCTGTTTTGATTTTTCTGTACTGATGCTTTTTCTGGAAAGAAGAAAAGTGTTCAGAGAGGGGTAAAGTCTGGTGGTGTCTGATATTGACGGGGGTCGGCTCCAGCCCCAGGTGGCGTGGTACATGACACACCTTGGAGGAGCCGTGCAGCATGCAGAGCACTAGAAATCCTTTACGTGGGCCAACTTCAGTTCCTTCTGAAACCAGAAAACCAGAGGAGAGTTGTTCCCCACAGAGCAATCCAAGTTGATGGATACTTATTTGAACTCTTCAGCTGTTTTCTCCAGTAAGCAAACTGCAGCTGATGGTGCCGTTGGCCGTGCACCTCCAGGTAGCCCTGGAAGCAATTGGCCGTCGTTGCTTACTGGTTCCCTCCTGGAAGACCAGTCCTGTGACCTGACTGCCCATACTGATGACTTGTGGGGAAATTGCTTTCAATGTTTACTTTGTACCTGACAATCCACGTGCTTCCGTTTTCTCCTTTACTCTGTTTACCTGCTTGAGAATGTGATTGATTGTCTTTCCTTAGGTTGGCCAAGTGTGTTTTGTTTCAGCTGTTACTTAAAACTGCAAATCTCTGTAGTCGTTTCTTTCTCATAAAGTAGAGCTTCCTCTGAAATATCGGCACTGTAGGACCTCTGTAATGCACAGGCCTGCTTTGTGTTTCCCACCAGTTCTCTGATTAAGGCATCCTTTTGTGAAATCTTGCCAGTAGCAGAAGAAGGGCATGAAAGGAGTTTTCGTTCTTCTTTTCTATTATCAGCAGATTTATTTATTTGCTTAGTCGCTTGCCTTTTAATTCACAGAAGATACGTTTAGCTTAATATTCAGGAGCTACATAGTCATCAGAAATTGTCTGGCATTAATAATTTAAAGAGAAGCCCAGTTGCTAGGGTGAGTTTGCAGGGCAAATACTAATAAAGCATAAGTGGAGTTTAATTGCAACACATTACACTCCAAATGTTGTCTCGGCAACAAGAACCATGGATTTCCACACTGCCTACTGTTTCCACGGCCTATTACTGTTCCTTATAACAGAAGTATGCCATAAACATCAGTAAAGTTTTAAATAATCTTTACGCTTTCTATTACGTGAAGAAATGATGTAGATCAGGTAGCAGAGTCCTTTTAGTAGAAACAAGAGCTGGCAATTAAGGGTTCGTAATTCCTCCTTATGTTCACCTGCAATTTCAACTCTGTATTCCCATATCATAGCAGTCTCTAATGTAACTTGTTTGCTTTTCCTAGACTTCAGTAATGGTGGCACCTGTGGAAAACAGAGCAGACAATTTATAATGCATCTAATTTCTTGGTCTTCTAATGTTGAAAATATTCTCTTTGAGGACTTCTCAATTCTGTATCCTCTGATAATTTTTAATAGAAATGGACTATACTCTGGCTTACTCAGGTCATTCTTCATCTGATAAAACTTCTGGTATCTCTAGCATTTCATACCTTCAGTGCTAATAGTCTGGAACTGGTACCTGTGTCGGTCCATCCTTCAGCTTGTCTGAGTTGCATAGAAATCCGTAATTCTTCTTACACTTCATCAGAAATATTTTGTCCCACTTTATTAGTAATGAGACAAAAGAGAATTGTGAAAAGTCTAAAACTCCAAGTAGAAGAAATTCAAGAACAGAGGATTCTGCCGCTTCACAGGAAACTGTAGAGAATGGACAGCGCAAGAGGTCCTCCAGACCAGCATCTGCATCCAGCACTGCAAAAGGTAAAATGCACAGCCGTCATTTCTGTGAACCGGGCAGGAAGTGAGGTGCTCCCAAAATAACCTTTCAATAACTGGCTCGTAACTGTGGTGGGTTTACAGTTTGTACCCGTTGTGTGCTTTTAACTCTGGGCTCAATGGTTTTAGACACAGGTTGGTGTTCACGTGTTTACCTACATCTGTACTGGCAGTGAATCTTGTATGGATTTCTTATTGTTACGTTTGTGGAACAGGTTTTCTGCAGTACTAATCAACAAAGTAATCGGCAAGCTTGCCTAGTTGAAGTTGAATTCTCTTTACAGAAATGTGTCATTAGTGGACTGTACTCGAGTTAAAAAGCATCGGGGCTTTTTTCCTGAACTCTGAAAGACATGAGAACAATACTGAAGTCATTTCAAGCACACAGTCAATTTTGCAAAGCCAGGTGCCTGCGTGCGGGCACACAGAGCGCTGCCCAGCTGGCAGCCTGCAAGCACACAGGGGATGCACTCACACAGCCTCGGGGGTCCTTCCCAGGAGCACCCCAAGCCCTGAAGTCACAGGTGTCAGCCCCTGGTGCTGGCAGTTACCACGTGCCTTACTTCCATACGGGCTGCAGTCCTGCACAAAGCACACAGCAGCTGTGAGGTGTGCACGTTTGTTACCAGGATGCACAGTCCGTGCTGCTGCTCTGCGGTTCCAGGTAACAGTGCCAGCTCCTCACCTTCAGGGTCAGAGCAGCTCTGATGGACGCAGGTTGTGCGAGAGGGTAGAGGAAACGTTCATCCAGTGTTTTAAAGATAACTTGCAGAGCACAGAGGTATTAATACATCATAATTATAAAAAGAAGTCAAGATGAATTCAGTAACCATTTTCCATATTGAAGATACCAAAGTTTGCTGGTAAGAGTATTTACATTTATAAGATTTTGAGAGACTTCCAGCTGTATGTGAGCGTGCAGGGTCACGTGGAGGGCCCTCTGTGTTCTGCAGTTCTGTGCCTGCTGAATTGGAGTTCTCTCTCGTAGCAGGGTTGTGCAGAAGTCTGTATCGTAACGCTATCTTTCATGATGTGAAGAAAAGGTTGAAAAATGTGAAGTAAATGTAAAATGATTGGGTGATACCTTGGGGAGCTCAAGCCTGTCTGAAGTGTGCTGTAATGAGTGAACCTAAAGATGACAACCAGTGGCACTTCAAATTCTGAACATGTGAGAACACAAAAGAACATTAAATTGAAGCATAGCAGCGCTCGTGTAGGGACTTTGTACCAACTGTGTCATTTGTTTACCTCTGTAAGGAAAATTGTTGTTTTTGAAACCTGTATGTGGAAGTACTGCAGTTCTGAGGGCTCTCCAGCAGCCTGGCTTGCTGCGTGCTGCTCCCTGCCATTGCCTTATCTCCATGCAAGCCATTGCCTACTGCAGAGCTTTGGGGACACAAGGCGCTTCTCTGCAAGGGCACAGCATGAAGGATCAATGAGATGGAGTGTGGGAGGCAAGAAGAGGTGTGTGCCTACTGTGTTCTGTGCGTTTATTAGTGAAACATAAGTAAGGAAGCCTGTATGTTTTGTACATGGCCTCCACCTGGATGTCTGCAGTCAGTGTCCCAAGAAGCTTGTTAATCCACCTTAGGAGAGTGCAGGGTTGGGAAAAAAATGACTTTTGACTTTTGAAGTAGAGACTGATTAAGGCCATTATAAAAAAAAAAAAATAATTAAAAAAAAAAAAAAAGGCATTTAGGAAAAAACTTCAGCATAACAGGCAGAGAAAAGGGGTTTGGGACCAGGTGCTCCGAATGAGCACCAAGGTGTACGGGAAGGATAGGCCAGGACAAGCTCTGCTGGAGGAGCAGCAGGGAGCAGCGGTTGGAGGCCAGCGCTCTGCCCACCAGGTCTGGTCCCACTGCTGGGAGCTGATACTGTGCTGGGGTTTGCAGCTGTCAGAAGGCCCTGCCAGGAAGGGCTGCCCAGTGTTTGCTGTAGCTTTGGTTTTGTGAAACTTGGAGAAGTGGGTATTTTTGTAAGATAGCGTTTAATAGCCGTGGAGCCGTGTCGTTGCTTTTCCAGTGTGAGAGGCCTTGGGGAATGTTTTCCCTTGGACTCTCAGATGCACACAGCCATAACAGCTACTGGAAAATACTGTAAGGAGCCAAAGACACATCGCCCATGTTTCCAATTGCATTTTTAGAACATGTAAAGATGCAGATGCCCTTAGTGCTTACTCAGTGCTCTTGTCTCTGCGTTCTGAAATGGAAGCGCCGTGCCTTGGTAAGTGCACTGAAAGCACCGCCCAGTCTCGCTGTAGCCTCTGCGAGTGCTTCTGTCGTGCAGCTAAGGACTGAGCGTTGCATCCTTCTGCACGAGCTGTTTTCTGTGGATTGTGACGTGCACTGAAGACACTTGCTTTCTGACGCCCTGGTTCCCCGCGGGCTGGGACAAAGCGATTCCCAATCGCGTGGCAGGCGCAGAGCACGGCCTGGCTTTCCAAACAGCGCCGTCTCCAAGTCCTGTGCTCGGATCTAATCCTGCAGCCTGTGTGCGGAGCGGCGCTGTTTGCGGAGCCCTGCTGCGTGCTGTGGCTGAGCAAGATGTGAAGTGTGGGGCTAACGCTCAAGAGCAGCCTGAGGCACACGGCTGCTGTTTGTAAGGCCGCGCCGAGCAAGATGTGAAGTGTGGGGCTAACGCTCAAGAGCAGCCTGAGGCACACGGCTGCTGTTTGTAAGGCCGCGCCGTTGCGCCAGGCGTGCGGCAGGAGCTGCAGGGCGCCCTGTGCTGCCGCAGGGCTGGCGGTGCTCAGGGTGCAGCCTGAGTCGCCAGGGGAGAGGGACCGGCCCCGAGCCCTCCCTGCTGTGATTTAGAGTGGCAAGAGGGCGATCTGCGCCTCACGTGAGTGGTTACCGACTGAGCATCCATGCTTCTTTTCTTCTCTTGATTTCAGAAACGAGTGCCAGTGCAATGCAGTCAAAAAGAAGAAAATCCAAGTAAATAACTGCATGGAAACATGAAACTTGTAAATGAGTGTGAATTTACCAATAGCGATTTTGAGCTGTGATTTTTCTTTTTTAAATAAAATTCTGTACAGTAAGTCATTTTAATATTATACTGTTCCCAATGATTTTTTTTTTTTTCCTAAAAAGCAAATAGATATAAAAACTGAATTCTTTTTAAAACCCCCTGGATTTAGAGAGTGAAGTCCAGGGTTAGCACATTAGGTTAATGTGTTTGTAAGAAATGGAAGGGGAGGGGAGATGATTGTAAATGTATTTGTTTCCACTTTTCATAAACAAATTAGAGTACAGGGTTGTCATTTTTAGGTATTAAAATAACGTATTGTGCTGTTGTTTAAGTACTGTATGTGAATAGCAGTAAGAGGGTTATAAACAGACCCAATTTTGTTTGGAAATGTAAATAGTTTTATTATATAGTAGACCTGATGTATTTGTTGTAGAAACGGACCAGTGAAACAAAAATGACTTTATGGGTTTGTATAATGTGGAATCCTTCATGCTCTAAATAAATGTTATTGTCCTATAATTTGGGTTCTATTATTATTAGCAGCAGCAACAGCATCGTTCCAAACGGGAAGACCGAATGGATTATTTAGAGCCCTGGGCCTACAAGCTCCTTATATGGAGCTTCAGAAAGGAATTTGTTGAGCCACAAATGAATTAACCAGTGCAGCTGTTGTGGTGAAGCAAGAAAAAGATTCCAAGGCCGCCCTCCAGGCCCGGGCTGTGTGCAGTGAGTGCACAGCGAGGCACCCAGCAGACAGCTCTCCCCACAGACAGGCGCTCAGCAGGAAACGGAGCCGAAAAACGTGCAGCATTTGAAGAGATCTGGAATGATTGGCCTGAAGCGTGTCTGCGTGGGGCTGCACGGCCATGGCAGCGACTGTTTGTGTGCCCTGCCAGGGAAAGTAGGTCAGCCTCTTTGTTCCAGGGAGCTCTCATGGGGAGAAATGGAGGAGTGAGTCGTCTTAGATGGCGGCTCGCTTTGTGCTCGAGTGGGTGTTTATACCTTTCCATTTTGCCAATGGATTTTTTACATTTATATTTAGGAACCCATTTAAAATACATTAATTGCCAGCTTCTACCTCCTGTAATGGCAGAAATAACCTATTTGTGCACAGGTAACCAAGCAAGGCTAACTTCTCCCCTTCCTCCCTCGCTGTCAGAGCTCAGCTCCTCACTTTCTTTGCCTCTGAGAAGCTGTTGTGGTGTGGCAGTGCTGCCTCCTCCCGAAGGCCTGGCCGTGCCCTGCTGCTCACAGCCCTGTCCTGCACCACGGTGCTCTGAGGTTGGCTGCCAGGGAAAGCATCAGCTCCTGTAAGATTTTTGTCTTTTATTTGCATGTGTGCATATTTCACACGCACATGCAGTCAGTTGGAAGCCAGCTGAGTTTCTGGGGTGACCTATTTTTACTATTTCCAGCTTTCACCATTTCTTAACCTCATTTCAGTTGTCCAGCTCACAAAATTGGCTTCATTCCCTATGTGGGATGATTGGAAGACAAAGACTTGCCCCATGCCTCTCAGAAGTCTCGTTGCTGCATGCAGGAGGAGGGGCTGTGCTGCAGTGCTGCTGTTCACATCCTGCCCGTCTGCCCACTCCAGCATTCTCCATGTTCTGGGCCTGGCCTGGCTGCTGCCACCGCCTGCCAGTTTTGGGGGATGAAGAACTGGACGAAGTTCACAGAACTGAAGGATCATGTTTGCAGGCAAAGTCCTTGTCCTGTGAGTAGGAAGAGGGCGAAGCCTGAAGGTATTGGTGCTACATGTGAGAAAGCGAGATCTGCTTTTGAGCTTAGCTTCGGCCTTACCAACTGCAGCACTGCACCCATGAAGCAGAAGGGTTCCTTTTAATATCCACAGGGGGTCGTCTTATGTAGGAGGGGAAGAAAGGGGTGCACTTGGGATTGCAGAAGGCACCACCACAGGGGAAGCTGATGGTCATGATCTAGGGAGATGTGGGC